TAATTATAAATTATTTAATTTTAAAATTAATAAAATTAGCGACAGATTTACGAGGAAAAGTCCGCCGCTAAAAGTTTCTGGTCCCTCGCTAATCCTTCGCTAAAAGTCTCTCGCTAATCCGTCCCTGAAAGTTTCTGTCGCTAATCCGTTGCTGAAAGTTTATCTCGCTGATCCATCGTTGAAAGTTTCCCTCATTGATCTGTTGCTGAAAGTTTATCTCGCTGATCCGTCATTGAAAGTTTCACTCGTTGATCCGTTGCTATAAGTTTCCGTCCCTGATATGTCGCTGATAGCATTACTTACGAGCTTTTGATAGACGGACGATCAACGACGAATGAAGCCTTTAGCGACGGATTTTTCCATTACTGATACTCTTCATTTTTGTAGTGACGGTGCAATTAGGTCGAAAACGCATCGGACGAGCCATGTGACAAAGAATCTTCCAACGGGCTTCCTATATCTACTAAAGGGAAGGGGAAGGAGTAGAGACTTGGATGACTTTAGTCTACCTTAAAGATGTCCCTATTAAATAAAAATCTTGGATCGACCATTGTTTAAGAGTATTATAACCAATATTGTGTTAAGATTTTATGATTATTGATTACAATAGAATTCAATTAAGATTGTCATTCTATAAAAGCAAATAGAATGCCATTCTTGAATGTTGTCTACTAAAAGATAAAACACAAATAGCCTCGAATCTAAATTGATCAAAGCCTCTTATTAATCGTTTGTTAAGGGCCCGTTTGGTCTACATGACTTGATGAGATTTGAAATTAGATTCCATATCACTTTCACACTTGGTTTAAAAAAATTCCAAAATTGAAACCACACTTGGTTTAAAAAAAAGTCCAGAATTGAAACCCCATAAACCAACGGGTATTTCATGGAATTTTTATAAAATTTGTTTGTAATAATATTTTAAAATATGTTAAAAACATTTATTTTATAATAATCAATTAAAAATATAATTTAATTATTTTTATAAATTATTTATAGAAATTGGAATTTTTATTTCAAATTCCATAAACCAAACATTCTAGAATATTAGGTAAAACCAAAAAAGCCGCCTTAACTGTGGTCACAAATCATAATTACTTTGGACTCTTAATTTGGATAAACTATCTATATTACTTTATAAAGCAGAAAGCCTCCAAAATCTTAAAGTCTTAAGTTTTTTAATACCCAAAATACCCTTGCACGCCTCCCCTCTTCCAAAATTCCTTTTACACCCTCCCCTCCCCAAGATCCTCTTCCCCATGAGCACTCTTCCTCTTCCCCAGGAGCACTCTTCATCTGCCCCAGGAGCACTCTTCCCCGCATCGTTTCGTATTCAAATTCCCACGGCCCGTTTTAAATCGGTGTTTTTCTACTTTTGGCCACCAACTCAACTCGGGATCGAGCAAAAACCCCAATTTGAATCTCGATCCCGCCATTGAAACCAAACTTCAAGCAAAAATGAAGATCAAATTCATCGAATCCAGCTGAGTTCGAGAAGGATTTCCATCCATGGCGTCACTGCATGATATCGAAACTAAAAATCCTTCTCTTTACAGTCGAAAAGAGAAATCTCTCGGCGTTTTATGCTCCAAGTATTTACTCATTTTAACATTTCTCTTTACACCTTCACTGTTTAGATCTTTGCTTCATATATAACGATTTGAGATTGAATATTCTTCAGTTTCCTGAGGTTGTATAATCGAGATGGTGTTGAATCGATTGGATTAGACAACGCGGCAAATCAATTATACTGAAGAAAAGAAACAAAGGATTAAAGGATCTTGGAAACTACAGGTGTTGAGAGGCGGCGAATTTACGACATTGTTAACATATTAGAAAGTGTTGGGGCAAGGTCTTTGACTCTTTTCGCCATACATCTTTGTGTTGTTTTGAGTTTCTGATGAATAGGTGTGTATATTGTATAGTCGTTTTAGGGTTTTGTTTGTTTTAATTTTGTCTAATTTTCAGGTTTTGACAAGGAAAGCAAAGAATCAGWATAYGTSGAAGGGTTTTAATGCAATTCCATATGYGTTGGAAGAGCTTAGGGTATGYTTAAATACATGTTTATGATCTTAATCTGTTTGTGTTGGTATGATGAATCAAAACGTTAACATGGATGATTGGATTCTGAAATTTTGTATGTGCATTCACTTCTAGAAACAGGCATCTAATGAGAACTCCAAAGGCTCACAGTACTGCAGCTTTGGAACCGTAAGTTCTCCATGTTAAAATTGAGGGTTTTCTAAATTCTCACACGTTTGAACCGTAAGGGGTGGGGTTACTTTGCCCAAATACATAATAGATTCAGGTTTGAATCCCTTCTCTTGTCTTTGTCGGCGAGTTATCTCACGATATGTCTCCTCATATGTCGTGCCCATGGGGGAGTTGTATTGGTAATCAACTTTTTGCCGAAATAGCATGATAAGACCAATTTATTAAAAGGGCAACATGATTTTCTTTAACCCATTGACATTTTGTAGCAATTGAACTGCAAGTTAGCTTATGATGGGGATTTTGTTCGAAGTTTATTTAAAAACATGGATTTTTTTTTGCAGGTTTTAAATGAGAACGATTGTCGTCGGCCTTCTAACTCAAACAACTCAAACACTGACAGACACCAAGGGGATTGAAGCGGTGCTTTTATTAGTTAACTTACTCTTGGTTAGTGAAGGCAAGTCAATTCTTGGATGATTAATAGGTCTCTGCAAATATGTGTTCGAAGGATACTTTTGAGCTAATATGGCCGTCTGTGGTGTGTAGTTCAATGAGGAAGGTGAATGGGTTAATAGTAATAAGTTTCATGTATATATGCTTAACTTCTCTGAAAGTTTTTACWCCTGAAGTCAACAGCTTTGCACATTTGGACTTGCTCTAGATGKGTGACTTTGCACTTGGTTTAAATTGACTGCTCTTTGCAGTAGCTTCGGAACATATACATAAACATTCATGAGAGATGCTAGCATTTGATTTTAGATGTTCTTTTAGATGGTTCAAAACAAAACTTTTACTTGTGCAGAAAATAACAACCAAACAGCCCTTTACTTGAGATTTCATTTGAACCCATCCCCCTCTTCAAGTCTAGATAATCAAATTTAAATGATCAGATGTTGGGACTGCACAATAATTTTTTAGGGCTAAATGCATGAAATAGCAACCTACTTTCATAAATTTTTTTATTATAGCATTTTACTTTTGTTTTTCTTTATTACAGCAATGTACTTTCAAATTATTTTTTATTAAGGCATTGTACTTTAAAAAATCTACCCATAATAGCAATGGGTAACCTGTTACCTTTTAAACCGGTTAACCCTTTGACTTTTTTGCTTGTGTGGCTTTAATGAGGTGATGTAGATACCACATCATTTTGATGACTTAACTAAAATTGAAATAAAAACCTATTTCAAATTATTATTAGTGATTTTCATTTTTCATTGCTATGATCTAAAAAAACATTTAATTTTTTTTACTTTTTCTTATTAAGTTGCATTCAAATTAAATATTCTTAGAGTAAAATATTTAATAAATAAATATGAAACATTATTTTCGAGATATATTTTGTTTGTAAAAAAGGTAATTTTTCCTATTTTATGTTGTTCAAATAAATACATATCTTTTAAAGTTCTCTTTAAAATATTAACGAAATAAATTGTTATCTACAATTTTTTAATATTGTTATATTAATAAATAATTCAAAAAAGTCTAATTAATTTAATATATTTATACGTCAAGTAAAAAGTTTTTGAACAAATATAATATATTCTTTAAAAGATAATATTTTTTGGTAAAAAATGAACAATTCTTATTTTCTTTTTTTCAAAAAATGCATATTTTTTAAAAAATGTTAGCGAGATAAGTTGTGTTCTAATAGTTTTATTGATATTGGTATATTAATGAATAATTTAGAATTTTTTTAATTCATTTAATACATTTATTAAATAACATGTAAAATATCTAAATATGAAAAGTAAAAATACAGTGTTTAATAAGAACTAGTAGATGCTATAATAAAATAATTTTGAAAGTACAATGATGTAGTAAGAAAGTCACATCATTATAGTACATGTGGACAACCTATGTGGACAATGAGGTGTCACGGAAACCTAGTATAATGGGTAAATTTAAATCAAAAGTTTACCCAATGCTATAATGGGTAAATTTTTCAAAGTACAATGTCTTAATAAAAAATAGTTTGAAAGTACATTGCTGTAATAAGAAAAACTGAAAGTACAATGCTATAATAAAAAAAATTATGAAAGTAGATTGCTATTTTGTGCATTTTGCCCTAAGTTTTTATGGCAAACTTCTACTGTAGAAATAAATTGCACTTGCTCTCTGTTCAGTTTTTTTAGAAGTTCCTTTATTAATGATGAAAGGGTGTTTAGAAAATGAAATTGATTTATGATAAAGAAGAAAAGCACTTTTAGGACCCAGCACCACACCCTCATGGAGGATTATCCTATGCTCTGTATGCTTGAGAAATGTGAACTTCTAAGCCCAATTTTTTGTTTTGCACAATAATTGGATCCACATTGAATTTAACTAAAATTAGAGCGTCTGCAGTTGCATCTCCTTTTGTACTATGGCTTATAGTTTTCTGTACCACAAAAGCATAGCGGTTGGTGATACTCTGCATGGTGTCATATTCATGCATTCCTAGCAAAGGGTACATATAAATGAGGTTTCAGAACTAAACCCCTAGCCACATMATATCTGGCCTATATCTATGTCCCAATGTGATCATAGGAGAGAACTGACTACGCATTTGGCTATTGAAGTTRGGTACTTTGTGAGCTGAGTTTCCGAATGGACATTATGTGGCCATCAGCATCAGAAGTCATGGTAGGAAATCAGTAGCTGTGACCTCATRTTGAGAGCACATTTCTGCAAGTGCTTTTGTATAGGAAATCCCTTCATTTTAGAAGTGGTAGGATAGTGTACCTATTTTTTTTAGAAACAGCAGATTTATTAAGAAACCACCAAGGCTAGCAAGATGCTAGCACTTACAACAAAGCCGATAAAGGGCTGATACACCAAGCATTCCAATCAAGATCATTACAAGACTTCGATCTAATTCTAATCCAATTAAAAGAAAATAGCACAATATCCTTGAAAATCACCATCGGGATTTTTATGGGTTTGTTAAAGACCAACGCATTCCGATTCGTCCAAATCATCCAAATGAACGCCATGAGAATTACTTCCAATACCTCCTTAACCCTCTTCCCTTTGAAAGGAAATTGCGCTGCCGAGAAGAATTCCGCCCAATTGGTAGCCTGACAAGGAAAGCCCGACCACCAATTCTTAACGTAAGCACCGATCACCTTTGTAGACGAACATCCAAACAAGAGATGAGCTTCCGTTTCAGTATGACTAAGGCAGCAAGGACAGAGAACCGAACTCATCCGGACACCTTTTAAGTAGAGATTATATCTAGTGGGAAGTCTAGACTTTGAAAGACGCCAGATAAGCATATTAACTTTAGCGGGTTCCAATTTGTTCCACTTCGTAAAGCTTCCATCGGATTGTAAAATACCTTCCTCGATCATTCCCCGACACGTCTTGACCGAGAATACCCCGCCTTCGGATAGAATCCATCTTCGATTGCCATTAGTATCAACGGGCCAGAAGTTGTTAACATTCAACTCAGCTTTCCGGATGAGAATGTCCCATTTAGAAATAGTTCCCCATACACCCGGTTTCTTACATCCGACACTTAAAATACCCCCTTTATCACCATGAAACGCCTTAATACTCTCTCTCCAGACACTACCCTCTTCGTTAAGAAATCTCGACCACCACTTTGCAAGAAGACTCCAATTAAGCGCCTTCAAACTACCGATGCCAATACCACCTTTATCCATTTTATTACAGGTAACTTTCCACTTAACCCAGATAATTTTCTTACTCTGTCCAGTCCGGCCCCAAGTGAATTGGTTCCTAAGGCTTTCAAGTGTGTTAAGCACAGATTCCGGGACTTTAAACAAAGAGAAAAGATAAACTCCCAAGCTACCAAGAACCGATTTACACAGAATCTTCCTACCACCAAACGACAAAGATTTGGCCTTCCAAGATGAGAGTTTCACTTCGAATTTGTCCACTAACTTGTTCCAGCTACATCTTCTTCCCATCTGCGCTCCTACTGGAAGACCCAAGTATTGAAACGGAATAGAAGAAATCTTACAATTCATTATTTGAGCGAGCAGCTCAGCTTCACCGG